GGGAGGGGGCCTGGCCACACAGTGGCCAGCACCCCACAAGGCAGGACCCCCCCCCACCATCCTGGCTCCCCCAGGGCAGCGCCCACTCTATTCTCCATCAAAATTATCAAATATTTACAAATAAAAAATAATAATTAAAAAAAAAATAAATAGTGGTGACTCTTTAAAAAAAAAAAAAAGAGTACCCCCCATTATTGTGTGTGTGTGTATGTGTCCCTCCCCACCCCAGGCCCCAGTCCCAGTGGCTACCCCTGCTCAACCGTCGGTAGCCAGGATGACGACGGCTCCGAAAATGCCGACATTTTGGCCGATGAGTTTCATCTGGTTCCAGAACTCGACACGGCGCGAGTCGTGCCAGTAGGCAATGTTGCCGTCGATGAGAAGGATGGCGAGGGGCAGCAGCACCGCCAGCACCTGCGCCGCCGCCCGCACATAGTAGCCCGAGAGGAAAGCCAGGGCCAGGAGACCGTAGAGGATGAAGAGGAGCTGAAGGGCCAGTTCCCCCCCCAGGAGGTGGTTCAGGTAAGCCAGGCGGTCCTCCTTGCTGTGCTGCAGGGAGTAGGCCTGGAAGGGGGGGGATGATGACACAAAAAAGAGAGGGGGATGGAGTGCAGTGACAGGAGTGGCACTGGGGGCACTCATCCCGCTTTTTCCCCTTGGACTGATGCATGTGTCCCCTGTAAATAGCAGATCCAGCCCGCTGCCTGCAGCAGCGTCGGGGACAGGAGGGGGCTGTGTCACCCCTGGAGTCCTGTGCCCCCCATAAATAGCAGATCTAGCCCCCTGCCTGCAGCAGGGTGGGGGACAGGAGGGGCTGTGTCAGCCCCTGGTGTCCTGTGCCCTCCCAGCGGTGTCCCATGTCGTCCCCCTCTCCCCCCTGGTGTCCCCCATACCTGGCAGATGAGGTAGATGCCGAGGAAGACCTGCCCTGTGGACTGGAGGGAGCGGCTCCGTGGCTTTTGGCGGTAGAGCTCACCCGCGCCGCTGGCCAGGATGAGGAAGCCCCCGATGATGGCGATGGTCCGGGAGTACATCCGCACCTGCGCCGGGGGCCACTGTCACCCCCCAGGCCCGAGCCAGGGTGGGCTGGGAGGGGGGGGTCACAGAGGTTGGATGATGGTGGGGG